TTTCTGGGGTTGAAGTCAAGAGTTTTAATGTTTACTTAGAAAGTGTTTTTAAAGAGAAATATATTTCTTGTGGCTTAATTTTCATTTTATCCAAGTTGCAATGTGCATAGTTTAAAGAGTAAAGTAGTTCCAGGGGGAAAAAAGTAATGTAATCTTATAGCCTTTCTAAAAGGAATTAGGAGGAATGCTTAGACCGTCTTTATTTCATTCTATTTCAGTTTTTCCAAGTAATTTTTTTTTTTTACCTTTCTATTGATTCCCCACCCCCCCTTCACCCCACTCCCCAGGGTTTTAACCTTCACCTGTTGCCTTCCCCAGGGAGATGTGATTTTGGTCTGAAAGAGCCAATGTAGTGGTGAAGAACAAAGTTCAGCGCTTCTGTGACTTATTACTTGTGTGACCTTTGGCAAGTTATTTACCTTCTCTGTGCCTCAGTTTCTTTATATATAAGGGCAATAGAAATTGGTATCTGAGGATTATATGTATAACGATTGAGTTATGCCTGGCACATGGTAGTTCTTAGTTTTATTTGCCCTAGCTCCTATTCTCCCATTTTATTTATTGATAATTTGGTCAAATCGGTTTTCAGTGTGTTTGTAGTTTTAACTATTTAAATGCTTATTGATCCATGAGTCATTAGTGTACTTGGATTTGTTTTCCTTTTCTGCACAATCTTTTACCTCAAGTAATAATTTTTAATTTGTTCAGATATTTAGATTTTTTTTTTAACTGTTATCCTCAAAGTTCTTACCTTCGATCGCTATTCACAGGGTTCAGACATTTTAGGCCAGAGGTGTGGGGGGTGAGAGGATTCACCAGAGACAGAGTGGGGAGCAGAACAGGCAGATCTACTAAAGTACACTGATGAGGGGAGCAGCGGGTGAGACAGGAGAGGTCTGCTGCGCCATTTGGGTCACCTCCCTGGCCAGGGATCGAACTAGTGATGCATTGACTGCAGATAGCTTCATAGTGCTGTCTTAACCCCTTGTGCCACCAGGGAGGCCCATGTGTTTTTATATATTGTACTCAGCTTTCAGTGTGGAAACTGCCCTCTTGTTCCTGGAAAATTTCTTGAGTTAATCCTTTGATTTTCTTACCTTCATTTTCTCTGTTCTCTTTCCTTAGATCCCCTGTTTTTTAGATATTGGGCCTTCTGGCCTAGTCTTAATTACCTTTTCTCTTTTTATCTTTTCACAGAACTTTTGCTTTCTAGAAGATCTCAGTGTTGTTTTCTTCAAGTTGCCTTTTCAGTTTTTTAAAGGTCTTTTTCTGTCTTAGTAGATGCTTTACCTATACACATAGTGGTTATTGGCTACCTACTCTTGTTTAAGAGTAAGACACAAAAAGTGGATTGAAGCTGTGAACCTGACTAGGATTTTTTAATTGAGCCCCACCCATTTCCTCCAGGGTGTGCTGTGCAGTGTTTAGACTATATTAGGGGAACTGAGGTCTAACAGTTTTGGTTGTGGGCAAATGTGTAACCTCTCCTGTTTTTACCCGTATCTTCACCTTCATTTATAGGGTTATTAATTCCTTAATCTTTGGGGATCCTTGTTATAAGTTGGGTTGCTTCTCTGCTTTTCCCCACTGTACTGAGGATTCAACTTTCTTGGGTCAACTAAGGCATTCATCACTTTTATGTTGCTCCTGTACTTGTTCACTTTGTGTGAATTTGTGACTTTTTTCTCCCCCATTTGTTGTAGTTTGGTTAGGCTGTTAGAACAAAGAATACCATAAACTGTTTGGCTTATAAACAACAGAAATTTTATTTCTCACATGGAGTCTGGGAAGTCCACGATGAAGATGCCAGCAGATGTGGCATGTGGGGAGAGCCCTCTTCTGGCTTCTAGCTGGCTGCCTCCTCACGATAACCCCACACAGTGGAATAGGCTAGGGAGCCATTTGGGGTGACCATTCATGAAGGCTCCAACCTCATTACCTTCTTTTTTTTTTTTTTTATTTATTTGTTTGTTTGTTTGTTTGTTTATACATGCACTGGGTACAGTCAGAAGCGCGGGAGGGTGAGAGAATTCACCAGAGCCAGAGCAGGGAGCAGAGCAGGCAGAAGGACCGGGGTACACTGCTGAGGGGAGCAGCGGGAGGCAGAAGAGGTCTGCACGCCATGTGGGACCCTCCTCCGGTGGCCGGGGAGCAGCCGGGGATCGAACCGGCGCTGCAGAGGCTGCGGGCAGCTTCGCAACCCAGCGCTCAACCACTGTGCCACCAGGGAGGCCCTCATTACCTTCTTATGTCCCAAGTGCCCTGCCTCCAAATACCACATTAGGGGTGAGGATTTCTACATATGGATTTTGGGGACACAAACATTCAGTGACTAGCTGTGTACCTGTATTTTAGGAAGGTTCGGAGAGAGGACAGGCTAATGGATGCATTTTTTATTTGGAAGCTAAAAGGAAACATTAGATTTACATCTAAAATTTTTGATGCTTTTCGTTCTTGTGACACATGTAATTGTTTGGATATGATTTAAAATTTTAATATGCCAGTTGAATAATCAATCAAGGTGTGATGATGAGATAAACGGTCAGTTTTTTTCCTTCACCAGAATAGATCTGCTTTTACCTGAAGGTAAAGAACAGATTATAAATGGGGCCTCCCCGGTGGCGCAGCGGTTGAGCGCTGGGTTGCGAAGCTGCCCGCGGCCTCTGCGGCGCCGGTTCGATCCCCGGCTGCTCCCCGGCCACCAGAGGAGGGTCCCACATGGCGCGCAGACCTCTCCTGCCGCCCGCTGCTCCCCTCAGCAGTGTACTTCGGTCCTTCTGCCTGCTCTGCTCCCCGCTCTGGCTCTGGTGAATTCTCTCACCCTCCCGCGCTTCTGACTGTACCCAGTGCATGTATAAACAAAAAAACAAACAAACAAACCAGCAAACAAATAAATAAAGCATGCCTCTATAAAAAAAAAAAAGAACAGATTATAAATGGTTGTGTCTTACTGATGGGATTATAGTTGGTCTTTCTCTGTCTCTTTTTAATACTTCAATTCTTTTTCACTTTAATTCCTAAATTTTCTACAATGGAAGTGCATTATTGTGAAATTAGGAAACAAATTATACAAAGGTAGATTTGAATAAGTTATTAATCAAATCTTTGGGTAAAAATTGGCATTAGAGTCCAGTGTCCTCTTTTTAAAATTTAATCCTGAAGGTATCAGAGGTGTGCTATGTCTTTTGCCTTCTTTAGGTAATCTGTAATTAGAAACACTGTTTTGGGGGGAAGATGTATGTGTTTTGCAGAGTTCACTCTAATCCATCCCCCAACGTTTTATTCTGAAGAATTTCAAAACTGTAGAAGAGTTGAAAGACCAGCACACTGAATTATATTGCCATTTTACCACATTGCTTTATTTATCACCTTTATTGAAGTAAAATTTCATGTAATAAATTAACCCATTTTAATTGAATGTGAGATAGCCTTTTCCTCAAGCTGCTTTATGATCCTCGCTTAATTCATTTTTATTGCATTAGTGATTTCAAAAAGGTAATTTTCTAATTCTGTTATTCCTTCATTGAGTAGTTGGCAGTCTTCTGTAAAGATACTGCTAATTTTTAAATGGAAGTGAAAAAGTTAGAATCATGAAGGATTTTATGATACATGAAGCTAATTTTTGGTTAACTTAATATGGACCTAAAGTTTATTTGCCTTGCCCTTAGCCGCAGAGAATCCAAAGAAAGGGTACTGAAGAGACCTCTTTTTTCTTTGTGAAGCTTGAAATACATAAATTCCTTCACTGGGTTTCCATTATTTGGGGATATTTGCTACTTTTCTCTGTGAGAGACCATTCTTTTAAGAAAAATAAGAAAGAAGCTACAGATAATTTTCCCTCAATTTTTATTAGTTTTTCTTTGGATATGAATATGTTTCATGTTTATCCATGTTTCTATGGATATGTTTCATGTTTCTTTGAATAGTTTTGTGAATTTGGGGGTGATTAGTAATTTTAACTGGTGGCAAATATACACTGTCATGAAGAGTGGCTGTTTTTAAAACTCCTTTTCTGTAATGTATAAGAAATGCCATAGTTGAACTGTCTAAACTGTCTAAACCTGACTGCTTGTCATCTGTATCTGATTACCCATAACATGGAAACACTAACATTATGTGAGACTGTTTGCAAGTATCACAAGATTTTATGGGGAAATAATGTTTAACTGTTGTTTTTCTTGTCTGCCCTAAATGATTAGTTATTACTAAATATGGCAGCAATGTCTGGCATATTTATACTGTCATTTTATTAGTTTATAAAAGAAAAAGGGCCTGATCTTCTCAGGCTTGTGAGCTATAAAATTTGCCTTTATCATATTCTTCCTCCAACTTCCATCTGATTTAATTTAGTCCACTGACTTGCCAGTAATGATGCATTTTACTTATTTATTTTTTTATAATAAATTTTATTTTTGTAATCCCCATACAATTGCAACCCCCTTATTTTGATCCTAATCACCCCCCTCCCGCCCTCTACCCCCCATAGAGTGTCTCCGGTTCATAGTTTTTTGTTGATTTTGATTTTCACTTTCTTATAGTTACTCATTTTCCTAGTCCCTTATTTAAGTTTTCTAGATTCCTGCTATGAGTGAGACCATCCGGTATTTTTCTTTTTATTTCTGGCTTATTTCGCTGAGCATGATCCCTTCCAGCGCCATCCATGTTGCTGCAAAATGCATGTGTTTATCTTTTTTGAATGCTGAGTAATATTCCATGGTATATATGTACCACAGTATGATGCATTTTAAAGGTACTATCTCACATGTACCAGAGAGCAGCCAGCTATTGCCTGAGCTTTTACTTGGAGAAGGGTTGACTGCAGAAAGAGTCAAATGCCACATAGCATTGTCTGGTAGTGTTGGCGTTATCATATCACGTAAGTTTATTTACCTTTTTATTTTTAGAGGAACGAATAAGATTGATAACAGGGCTGTAGATTCTCTTTCAGGTATTTGCCCTAGTATGCATTTTTGGAAGTGAAGTATGCTGAGGTTTGCCTTTTTAATATGGAACACTTCCTGAATTTGCTTCTCATCTTGTGCAGGGGTCACACTAATCTTCTCTGTATTGTTCCAATATTAGTATATATGATGCTGAAGTGAGCAGTGAGGTTTACTTTTCTATAATCTTCCAAAATGATGTGACTGGCATTGTTTTTAGGGGAGATGAAACTAAAGAGACTTTGAAGCTGGCCCCTGTAGCACATCAGAAAATCTCAAAGGGAAGACAGATTAGAGGTGGAGCATTTTAATCAAAGGTATATGTAAAAGATGTGTTTTTTTCAAAAGGAGTTTTTTCCAAAACCATGCAGTCCTCTACGTGCACAAACAACATTTAGATTTGAGAACAAAGTGTTAGTTTACAATTCAGCTTTTTGGAACTTTTTCCTTTTTTAAAAAATCAAAGACAAACTTTTCAAGTATTTTTTAGAAAATAGGTTCTCTGACTAGGCTGTAGGATGAGCTTCTTTTGACCACTGCTGGCTTACTTAAGTTTCCTGTTAGGTAAACACTTTGGAAAACCACACTTAATTATAGATTTACCTGATCATTATGTAACTTCTACTTTATGTCCCAAAGAAAGTTTCATGAACAACAATAAACCACGGATGTTTTGTTTATGAAGATGGCTTTGTCTGAATCATGGTTTCAGTTTGTTATATTGGGACTTTTTGGGTATATGCGTGTTTTTTTTTTTTCCATTTCTTCTGGGTCAGTGTTCTAGTATCTTCGGAGATTTCGGTTGGCACCAAAACTAATGATTTTTTATTTCAGGAAGTATCCATGACAGGTAAATTCAGAAGTAGGGGGCAAGAAATATGGGTGTTATTTCTTAGTATGCATCTTTAATGGATATAATTGAGTTCTTGAAAAGTTGCGACGGAAGTGACTCAGCAGAAAATAGTACCTTTTAATTATAATCTTTCCTTAGTCTGCCTCCATAGTTTTTTCCTTTTTATGATGAACTTTTAAAAATATAAAGGAAAAAGAATGATGATGAATGAAAGCTATTGAATTAGTGTTTTGCTGCTGTAATAAATTACCACAAATTTAGTGGCTTTATATGCCAATTTATTATCTTGTAGTTTTGGAGTTCAGAAGTCCGACATCATTCTCACTCAGCTAAACCCAAGTTGTTAGCAGGACTCTGTTCCTTCTGGTGAATCATTTCCTTGCCTTTTTCTGCTTCTGGGAGCCACGTGTATTCCTTGGTTCACAATCATTTCTTCATTTTCAAAGACCACATGAGCTAATCCTCACACTGCTCTCTTTCTTCCACTCTGAGGAGGTGATTACACTGTGTTCACCTAGATAATCCGGGATAATTTCCATATTTCTAGGTCAGCTGATCAGCAACCTTAATTCTCCTTTGCCGTCTAACAATATATTTACACATAATAAGGATTAGGACATACTAGCATGATGAAAATGTTCTAAAACGTGGTAATGGTTGCTAAGTTTGGTGACTTTTCTAAAAATCATTGAATTTTACAATTGAAATTAAAATGGGTGACTCTTAGGCCATATAGATTATACTTGAATAAAGTGTCTTTTTTTTTTTTTTTTTTAAGCGTATAGATGCTGTCCTTTGCTTTTAGGAGGAAGCCCAAGTTCCTTAATGAAGCGTTGGTCCCATCTAAATTAATTTTTTTTAATTGTAATAAAATACATGACATAAAATTTACCACCTTAATCGTTTTTAACTGTACAGTTCAGTGGTGTTTAGCATATTCACATTGCTGTGAAACTAAGTTCTACAACTTTTTCATTTTGCGAAACTGAAACTCTATACCCATTAAACTATAGCTCTCCATTTCCCAGTTAGCCAGCCTCTTCTGGCGTCATTCTACTTTCTGTTTCTGTGAATTTGACTATTCTAGATATCTCATATGTCATACACTGTTTGGCTGGCTGACTGGCTTATTTCACTTACTGCAATGTCTTCAGGGTTCATCCATGTTTTAACATATGTCAGAATTTCCTTCCTTTTAAAGGCTGAGTAATATGGGCATGTTTTCACTATTATGAATCGTGTTGTTATAAACATGGATGTGCAGCTATCTCTTTGAGATCCTACTTTTATTTCCCAAAATGGGATTGCTGGATCTGAATTAAGTTTTAATTTACCTTTCCAGCTCCTCTTCTGTCCCTTGTAACAGCCTTTGCACCAGATTCTATTCCTGAACATGCTGTATAGTTTTGAATCAAAGTGGGTAATGCCAAAGGAAGTATTTTAAGGATGCTGTTACATTATATAGAACCAAAGACAAGGAATAACAAGAGATCACAGATATGATGGTGCTTCCTCTAGACTAGGTATGTAGTAAGGCTATAGCACTTATGTTTGTCTAAGTATACTCTGTGATGTTCATACAGTAATGAAATCACTTAGTTATACTGTTCTTAGAATGTACTCAGATTGTTAATGATGTATGACTAAGTTTGGGCTTCAGGAACAAAAGATTCAAAATATCTGGTTGCTTTTAGTCGTCTTCTATCTTTGTTAAAGAGAACCATAACTGTCAAAAGCTTCCAAATGTGTGGTTTATATACCAGGTACCGTGGGAAAAACTTTCTCAGTTCCAGTTCAAATTCATGTCAGCTCTGGTATAGCTTCACTGTGTACTAAGGAGTACTGTTTGGAAGTGGGGTGTTGTGTAAACAAGTAACTACAAATGCTCTCATGCACTCCCCAGTGGAGATGACCCTTACTCAGGTTCTGCTATCACACTGTTGTCAGAGACTGTCTTCGGTGAACAGGGAAGATGATGAGGAGAAGAATCTGAAAGAATCGAGAAACAAAGAATTGAGTTTGAGAGTTTAATTAACTGTAAGACTTGAGTTTAAGAGAAGCGGGACGCAGGGGGCACAAGGCTTTTTAGTTTGAGCTCAGGCACCTCAAGTGCAAATCATTTTTATTGCTACAAATCGCCCCTCTTCCCTCCTTGTTAGTTACTAGACAACGAATCATTTTTTTAGTATTTAGCCTTGTCAGGGCACACATTTATGCCAGGGTTCTGTGTTATTAAGCATGTCTTACTTTTTTTAAATCTTGCCTGTTTTTGAGGCTTAGCTTTGCTGGCACAAGAAGGGACATCGTGGTCTGGACATGGGCTGGTGTTTTAGCCCATGTTGACCAGTCTTTTAGTCACTAACCTGACATTTTTTTTTGTTTAAGCACTTTACACCTTAGGCTTCAACATGCTATGACTGCTTGTCACAGTTACCCGTCCTACCGGATGAAGGTCTCCGGGTGAGAACTGTGCTTTTCCTAGTTTGGTCTCAATGGCTCCAAATACACATCTTCATGATCCTACAGTCTGTGGGCAAATGAAACTATTGTTGTTGTTGTCTTCCATCATCTAGTCCTCGTGTACAGTTGTGAGAGGAAAACCAGATAAAGAGAAAGGAAAAATCCTATATCTTGGTCACTGGTTTATTCCACCTGACAGATATTTATTGAGCACTTTTGTGCTCGGCACTGTTCTTAGCCCTGAGAAACAGAACAAATGGAGTATATTTAGTACTGTCTTCTGTAGGGCAGGAACAGTAAGGCAACCAGCAAGTCTCACGGTCACCGTTAACTCATTTCACTGACGAAGACTGAAAATCTTTATCTGGCTTCTGCCAGAAAGAGTCCCCATGTCTGAAATTCTTCAGGACTCTATCTGAGAGCAACATACATCATATAGGGGCATAGTGTCAGATTTACTTTTATGAGGCCTTGTTGCTCTAGCTTTCCTCTTTCAATAAGATGCTACTTTTGGACATAGAAATATAATAATTATAGGTAACCAGTGTTAGAGCTCTTTCAACTTTTTTTTTGGTTTACCCATTCATGTTGGAGTATTCACTTTGATAAATAACCACATCTAGTACTGTTTTAATTAGGTTTTTTTGTCTTCAGGATTGCTAGAGACTAGCTAGGACTAGATTAGGTCCCTTAGCTCTGCTTATCTTTCTAGATTGGAAGCTTTCTCAAATCTATGAACTGACTCTCCCTTTCCTCCCCTAGTGGTATTTCTGTCAGATCTACTTTAAAATGGGGGGAGTGGGGCATTGACATTTTGGGGGAACATTGTGAGAAATTTTGAAAGGGACTGTCTACATCGTATTTATCAGTCTCCAGTTTCTTAGTGACACAAACATTTATTTGGTGAAGTTTAAGCGAACTAATTATCTTAACAGTTGTAGGTTTCGGATCACTGGCTTTAGGCAGAAAAGTCTTTTTTGCTTAAGTTGTGTTCTTATTTTCATGTTTGTTACATCTTTCTGAGAGGCCAGATTGGATAGGCTTGTGATTTGCAGATTGAATTGTTTTCCAGAATCTTGCTGAAGTTAACATGATTTTCTGTGTGTATTTTCTTTCTATTGTCCAAAGCTTATAAAGCTCCACTTAGCTTTGGGGTGCATGTGGAATATAACTAACTGCTGTGCTACTGTACACATTTTAGGTTTGTTACTCTGAATTTTATTGAGGTGATGAGTAGAACCCTGTCTTAAACTAGCCTGAGTTAAAGTGAGAATTAATAATGAGGATACTGAGATATTGTAGAACCTAAGTTAGAAATTATTTTGGGCTTCAGAATCTGGGACTGGAATGTTGTCAATCCTCTCTTGCTGGCTGTGGTGTTCTTTTCTCTCCCAAGTTTGCTTATTTTGCCCTTCAGTCCAATGGGCAAAATAGGACACTGAAAGCTCCAGGGAAGGGTTCAGATTGACTCAACATTGGCTCGGGAGTTCATTCCTAGGCTAATGAATGATGGTTTGGAGCAGAGGCATGTATAAGCCTGAAAATTCTTTAAGTTCTTATTTCTTATCTGCTTTCCTGGGACAAAGAAGGCAGTTCCGGGATAGAAAGGGACATGGAACTCATACATTTTTGTGCCCTTGGAATATTATTTCCCTTTATCTAGCTATCTCTTGAGTCCCTTTCTCTAGCTGGTTAATCAGCCCACTGAGGTATGGCTCTGATATTACCTGGTCGATGAAGCTTTCCTGAATTCTTAAGTTTGACTTATATATTTTCTCTTCTTTACTTTCATGATCCTTGGTTAGTTTTTTTCTCTGACATTATCCCACTCAGTTATGACTATTTTTTCCCAG